AGGGTTTAGGGTTTAGGCTTCAGAAGCCATGGACGACACAGAGCAGTGACTTCACAGAGCTCAAGTCAAGGCAGGCAATCAAAGTACCCTAAACCCTAAACCCTAAACCCTAAACACAAATGCTCACAAACCTCCTGTTGAACTTCAAGCTGGTGCCCAAACCCGAAAGCACCCAACGCCTTACTCACCTAAAGCCTCACCCCAAACCCAAAAACCCAAAACCGCTGCAGCCTACACCCTCAACCTCTGCACCCAAAAACCCTAAGCTCTAAACCATTTTTTTGAACCCAGTCTCTGATCATCAGCTGGGGAAGTCGGCTCTAAACCATAAACCCTAAACCTCCCCCCTGCACCCGGCCTCTTCCCAGGAACGCTTGTAGTAGTTGATCCAGGACTGAGCCGAAAGCAGCTCGGACTCCTGTCGGGTGGATGTCTTCTCTTGGCTTCAGGCTCTCCATTTAGGAATTCATGGTAGGGATTGAAAGGGTTGAGGGTTTAGGGTTTAGGGTTCAGGGTTTAGGATTTAGGATTTAGGGTTTAGAGTTCAGGGATCTAGTGGTTATGGGAAGAGGGGTTGTCAGCACTCTCACACTCGGACAAGCCTGGGCGAGGTTCCTCGTACGACGACGGCACATTGGCCCAGGAGGGCTTTGGGGTTCTATAGGGTTTAGGCTTGAAGATTGGGGTCGGGGTGTTCAAGGCCATGTAGGCAGGCTTTCCAGGACTTGGGGTTCAGTGTTAAGGGTTTAGTTCGGGGCGAAGGAAACCCCAACCTCTAAACCTTCTTGCTGCAGGCTTGCAAGCAAGAACGCCTACCCTGAACCCTGAACCTTTGTGAGTTGGGGGGGCTTCTTTTGCGGCACCTTTTCCGGCGTGTAATTACGCTCTAACACCCGGACTTGCCAAGCGAGTTTCATCAAAAGCTGAAGACTTTGCTTTGAGCGCCAATACCCTCTGGTTGTTTTGCGCTGTCAGAACTCGGACTCGCAAGATGAGTTTGCGAACGTATGAGGGGCTGAATAATTTGAATCGGGTTAGGGTTCAGGGTTTAGGTTTATAGGGTTTATGGATGTGTTTTTTCGACCTTGGGCTTGTTTTTCCCACCCGCTTCGCTGACTGGGTCGCGCTGCAGGGAGACCGAGCAAGTCCGGCGGGCAAGAGTGAGAGCCTTAACGCGCGAGAGACTTGCCGGCGAGCAACGAGCTGAAGGGTTTAGGGTTTAGGGTTTAGGGTTTAGGGTTTAGGGTTTAGGGTTTGGGGTTTAGGGTCTAGATCCCGAACGACCCCCAGCGATAACCCGGCATCAGCTTAGGTCACACACCCACAAGGTATGCACAAGAAGTCTCAAGCCGCCATCCAATACTGGAAAAACAGGGCTCAGAGCTTAGGTTTTGGGATACATTGCAGTATAACTATGTAGGGACAATCTTACTAAGTCCTCCGACCCCTAGATTGTTCTAGGACTTCGGCGTACTTGTCCAGTATCCTGGAAAACTAAAGGTTGCCCTTCGGGAGTATATTAGGGTTATATAGTACCGCAAAACGGTTAAAGGTCGGTGGTTTCGCAAAGGTGTCGCCTTCTCCGTGTTGCTCGTCTTGCTTTGCGCCAGCTCCATCTGTAAGCTGTGGACCTTGTTGAGGAGAAGACGGTTTCGGGCTTAGGGTTTAGGGTCTAGGGACCAAACTTTGCTTAAGACTTTAAGGTTTTACAGGGAGGTTTAACAGGGTTTTAAAAGGGGTAGGAGCAGACCATAAATCCAAACTCCATCAACCCCCTAGACCTCAGAATCCAACGTCTAGGTCGACCAACCTTTCACCCGGAACCCGGATCTGAATCTGCGGGCTTAGGGTTTAGGGTTTAAGGGTTTAGGGTTGAGGGTTTAAGGCCCCTAGCTATCAGTCCGGTCGAGATCCGACAAGACCGTTGCAAAAGGGCCCCTACATGCCTCCCAGGAAGCCCCTGAGTAGCGGGACCTCGTTTTCCAAGTCCACCAGCTTCTCCTCAACCGACTTCGAGTTCACCACCTTGGGGCAGGTGTTTAGGGTTTAGGGTTTTGGGTTTTGGGTTTAGGGTTTAGGGTTTAGGGTTTAGGATTTAGGGTTTAGGGTTTAGGGTTTAGGGTTTGGGCACTGTTCCGAAGTTGCGGCTTAGGAAGACGACTGACGCGGTTTTGGCGGACCGGGGTTGGGAATCCAGGGTTCGGGTTTTTAGGTTTGGAGCTTCGACTCGGCGAACCGGTAGCGGCTTCTGGCGTTTCAGGGCCTCCAGGTCCGTCCTACGGCTGATGATATAAATCCTGCATTCCCCATAATAAGGCATATACTATAAAAATGTCCATAGTTTAGGGTCCCTCAGGAAATGCAGGATTTACATCATCAACAGTAGGTGCTGCCACCGCTGGTGTTCCCACTGCTTCATGCGATTGCAATGATGCTTGCAGGGCGCAGCCTAAATCCTACAATTTGCCCATGCCTCTATCCTATACCCAAACAACTCCGAGTACCGATATTCTATGCTATAATAAACCCCGAGCATCCCGAAACCCTGTTCTACTTCTTGAAGCCCCTGTACTAACATAGGGGTTTCAGAAAATTAGGGTACCTTATTTTGGGGTCCTTATAATAGGGATCCTATTATTTAGGGTACCATATTAGGGTCCCCTATTTTCGGAAACCCCCAGATGCCCTTTTGAAACCGGGCTGGGCTTCATGACTGCCAGCATTGCCTCTTCTGCCGTTCTTCAGCCGAGGCCCGAAAACGTTAGCACCCAAGCACTCCACTCCACTCAGATGCCCTCTTTTTTTGAACCCAGACTCTGTTGATCAGCTGGGAAGCAGCACTGCATGATTTCACAGAGATGCCCTAAAACCCTAAACCTAAACACCTGGAAGGCTACTACCCGAAACCTAAGTCCTTACCTAGCTCGGTAGGGTACAGTACTGCACCCTAAACCCTGCACAAACCCTGTACCCTGAACCCCAGGTCGAGGTCGTGACTGGCTTGGTTTGGATCTTCTTGGCCGAGGCCGCGAAATTCCTGGCGCGTTCTTTTGCCAACTCTGGGCTTCTGCTTGGGGGTCTGAGATTTGGGCTTTGTCATACTCCATTTTTCCATCCGAGGGCTCAGGGTTCAGGGTTTTTGGGTTTGGGTTTTGGGGCGTGTGGCTAAGGATTTGGGCGTTAGGGTCCAGACCTCCAGGGAGGTTCTTCAGTGGAAGTGTTTATTTCGAACCGCGAAGGTCTTGGCCTGCGGCTGCCCTGAAGCCTACACCAACGCATCCACACGGCACGTGCTCTGCCCAATGCAGCCAGGCAGCAGAGTTGACCTGCGCATGCCAGGGAATATCAGTGGATAGAATGCTTATCGTGCCATATTCTAGTGACTAGTAACTAGTATGATGCACACTGTACAATACGATACGATGTAAGGCTATGCTAGGCTTCACTATGCTATGCTGTGCTAGGCTAGGCTAGACTACACTACACTGGCACTGCACTGACAGCACACTACACACACTACACTAGACATTAGACCAGACTAGATTAGAGTCGGCTATATTAAAGTATACTGTACTATGCTATACCATACTATTCTATACTATACCATGCTATACCTACTATACCATACTGTACTGTACCATGTTGTACAGGTTGTTATGTGACATATTGCACTATACTCTGTTACATTATGCGGCACACTATGTTCTAAATTTGTTCTCGCTGAAGTAGGCTATGCTGTACTTTCTATGTTGTATGACGTGATGTTGCACCGCATGGCATTGTATTATACAGGGCGACATACAGTTCATCGCATAATGTAGTATTCTACTGCACTATACTGAATTAATTCTGTCGAATGATATAGCAGGCTGCAATACACTGTATTATGTTGTGTCATTTTGAACCACATTGCATTTTAGATTTCCCTACGGCACATTATGTTGTATCATTATACATATATATATATATATGCCGATTGTATGTTGCATTCGATTGCATTCTAGTCTGCTCTGTTCCCTGTTACTGTGCCACGAAATGCTGTGTTATGCGACTTTTATGCTATGGTTACCATGTTATATTGCACGATTCATGATACGCTATGAAATCAACCAAACCGCGGACAAACCGCTGACCCCCTGCATTCCGAGTACAACCGCCAGGTGCGACAGGATCTTCCCTACCCCGTCATTCATCCCTAAACCTTTTTTTTGAACCTTTGGTGGCATCCCTCAAAGCAGTGGAGTATGCAAAGTTCTTAGTGTGTGTGTGTATAAATACATAGACATGTATATATATATATATATAGATATATATCTATATGCTGTTAGAAAACATCCAGTAAGCATCGTCAAAATCCCAGCTCTGCAGCGGAGCCGCATCGAATCCTCGAATGCTGACTGGCAGGGCGACAGCCTGGGTGGAGAGCACAATGCGGGTTGAGGGTTTCGACCCTCACTCTCGCACGCAGCAGGCAAGGATCCACATGAGGGTTTAGGGCTTCTGGTTCAGGATTTAGGGCTTTGGGATTAGGGCTTAGGGTTAAGGGTTAAGGGTTGAGTGTTTAGGGCTTTGGGTTGAGAGTTTTGGTAAACAAGCTCGCCGTGCAGCAATGGCTGTAGACACGCTACATAATCATACATGCAATGGTAATCAGAACGAAAAACGGTCAAGCCCGGTTAACCCTCACAAACGCATTCGAATAGTAGCAGCAGCAGTTTTAATTGTCAGGTTTCTGCTGCCAAACAGAAATGAGACAGTACTGGGCGCCAGTGGCGATTGAGACCCGTGCGTGGCCACCACGGCCGTGCGGGAGTTGCCCTGCAGCGCCTGTGAAAGCAGCATTGTGACCTCCGGCTCGGCAATCTGGCATCGTGTTCTTACACCCTTAAGGGTTTTAAGGCTTTAAGTCTTCCAGGAAATACGGCAGTCAACGCAATTACCACGATTCTTCTAGCCAAAACCGCCACATACTTACATACTACATTGCACTACACTGAATCACGCTGCAGTCGCTCATCTTGGCAGCCTCTTGACGTACGAACCCGAAGCCCTAACCCCTAAACCCTTAACTCTAACCCCTGTGCCCTAAACCCTACAACCTAAGCCCCATACCCTGCACCCTGAAATTCGAAGAAGCTCGACTGCCCTAAACCCTAAACCCTAAACCCTAACCCTCCCTGAAGAACCGGGGCAGCCGAAGCCAGGAAACTCAAAGCAGCTGAAACTCGGAAATCCGCCCGGAAACCTCACAGAACCCCCGAATGGACCCGAACCCTGAAGGATTTAGGGTTTAGGGTTTAGGGTTTAGGGTTTAGATCCGAAAGGAAGCCCCTTATGAACAGGAACCCCCTTACAGGAATCCATAGTGGAACCGTTCATGGAACCTTTTCAAAGAACCCCAGAAACCCGCAAGTTCCAGCGCGAGCCTTTGAATTTCGGAAGTCGGAGAGGCTGTTCCGCTCAATGCCACCTCCATGGCCATGCAATAGCCGCATCAACAGCGAGAACGACGATGACGTTCACGACTGGTACTGTCTATGCTAGAAGAAAAATCAAATGCAGCAGAAGAAGAACAGTTTGATGACACTATCCAGGACTCTGGGGTCACATGGCTTCGCTCGATCAGTAAAGTGTTCTGTTTCCCTCAGGTCCTTCGGTCGAGGGTTCAAGGCGCTTAGTAGGTTTACCGCGAGTAGAGAGTGTTGCCATAAGGATTGCATCATGGTTGCCTGTTTGACCATTGCCGACCAATTCTCGCAGCTACCTCTAGCGAAGCGGGTGAAGCCTTCCGCGGTTGTTGTTCCACTTTGGAATAAGATAGTTTGACGAACAGCGAAGAGTCCTTCCTTTCCGACCAACTGTGTCGCTGACGTTCGGAGGCTCGTGTGGCTTACAACGAGTGTGGATAAAAAGTGAAGTGTTCTGTTTCTTCAGGCGCGCACTTGCGATGATGTTTGCGTCAAGCTTGTAGAGCGTTTCAGGGTTCGGTTGTAGCCTGAGTTGGAGTTTCAGAAAACGTGGCAGCTAAGGTTGGGGATTCTGCTGGCGCTGTCGGACAACCACACATGAATCGGGTTGCCGTCCCCAAAACCCATGTAAGCGTCGGATAAGCCATTGCCGATCATGGCCTGACGAGATCTTGGTGATGAGGTGCGCCAGATGGAACAGCGATGTGTTGATGAAGCACATCTCCTTATACCTGACGAGGACAAGCACCTAAACCCTAAACCCGTATCCGGAACGGATCACCCTAGCCGAGCTGCAGGCTCATGCTGCATCCCACAAGCGACAGCTAGATGTCTTCTTGAGGGGGTCCTAGCTAGCTAGGGTTGCTTCTGAAATCCGCCTCACCAGAGTCACGTGCTCTTTACGCTCTCGCAACTCGGAGAAACCAGACGAGGTCTCACCGTCGGCCGTCAGGCTTTAGGCTTACTGCGAACATAAGCAATAGGAACATTAAGCCCAGGTAAGGACACGCTTCAAACAAACCACCCAAGATAAAGCAGAAGAGGCATTGCTACCACCCCCAAGATCATCTTCATGCTGCATGCCCCAAGGTCCAAGAATCAGATACAGAAGCTGCAGCACAGGCGTGGAGTGTAAAAATGACACCAAGAGCGTGCAGGCGACTCGATTACAACATACTACGAGTACTTAGTAACAAAAACCCTCTGCAAAAGACTCGCCACCGGTCATTGATGCAAGATGTCTTGCGAGCTGGGTACTGCAAGAAGGCATGGCAAGGATACCGAACTAAATGCCAAGAAAAGGACATCCTCAAATTCGGCTGCACAGTGGCATGCCTAGCCGCCCAGGCAACACGTGAAAGCAATTGCTTGCGGAAGACCGTGCGCCCATAAGTTGTGCTGCCTCTTCACGGGATCAGCCCAACAAGCACGAAAGGGAAACAGATGTGTCTGTTTCCGGTCGCGTCCGTCATCGTAGCAGTAGTCACAGTACGTAGCCGTGGTCATAGTGTCCGTCATCGTCATTGTATCTGCGCTTGTCATCGTGTCTGCCATCGTCGTTGTCATCGATATCGTGCTTGAGCTCGTCATTGTCTCTGACACTGTTGAAGATGTCGAGCTGGCTCCAAATCCGACGCCCACCATGCCTCCAAAAAGACTCACCGTCAGGGGGCCGAGGAGGTGGCGGGTGCCCTCATGACGACCATGGAAGCCGTGTAGGCAGGCATAGTTGTCCCAGTCAGTTTCCAATCGCCTCCACTTGAATCTCGACTTCAGACTCAGAGCAAAACGTCCTCTTCTCCTTTGCCCAGGCTTCACCAATCCGGTACCGACTCCAGATAGGTCACTGCGGAGGTGCTGTTGGTCAGTGCCTCGCCATCAGGGTCCTGGTGCTCAGACACATTGCCGGTTGCGATCCTTGACAGGACTACAGATCCGGCGAGTGCAGCGCTCGCCGGCTCAGGGACATCCATCACTTGAAGGACACGTTGAACGACGTCAGTTTGATCAATGAGAGGTTCAGACACACGGACCTTCTGCAGGATTCTGGATGCCCCCCTCATCATGCAGAAAGTCGTCCATGACGTGCACCGATGACAGACATCAATCTTTTGCCATGGCTCTTGCCAAGAGAACCGCATGAAGGGATGGACGGATGAACATCATGGCACTTCGCGGAGCCTAGCTCAAACCTAGCCCGTGACAGAGCTGCACCTCGAGCCTTGAGACAAAATGGTGATGTACGCTTTCGGAATTGCCGAGCGACCCTAATTTGGAGAACTGCCCATGAAGCAGAGAAGCCCACGAACACCCCGGGGCCAAGACTGTATTGCGCCGGGTTGGTTGCCCAGGCGCTCGCGATCCTCCCGCCCAGCAAGGTCGACAAAGGTGACCGCGCCTGAGCGGCTTAGGCTTGGTGTGGGCATTCGGAAGCTGGGCCAATTTGAGAGCTCCTGCCGAGGGCTTGGTAACCGTCGTCATCGTAGAAGCAGTGGTGGTGGTGGTGG